CACTTTCATAGTAGACATGCTGTGAAAAACTAACTATTTCCCTTAATCCTATCCTGCCCACCCATTTATTCTATTCTTTCTTTTGACCCTGACCCTCCTCAGAAGTATTTGCTTCTGATTACCCCCTTTCCCAATCTGCCCTCCTCTGTATCATCCCCCTACTCTCTTGTCCCCTCCCACCCCATTTTCCTGTAGGGTAAGACAGATTTCCATACCCAACTGAGTGTGTATGTTACTCCCTCCTTAAGTCAAATTCTATGAGAATAAGATTCCCTTATTCCCTCTCACCTTCCCCCATTTCCCCTCCACTGTAAGAGCCTTTTCTTTTCTGTTTTTTTTTTGTGAGATAATTTACCCCATTCTACCTCTCCCTTTCTCCTTCTCCTAGTATAATCCTCTTTCACCCCTTAATTTTATTCTGCATATATGACCCCTTCATCTTCAACTCACCCCATGCCCTCTATCTATTTATCTATCTATCTATCTATCTATATACATACATATAATTTTTTTCTCCAACTACCCTAATACTGACAAAAGTCTCATGAGTTACAAATACCATCTTTCCATGCAGGAATGTAAATGGTTCAACCTTAATAAGTCTCTTATGATTTTTCTTCAAGTTCCACTTGAGTCTTGTATTTGAAAGTCAAATTTTCTATTCAGCTCTGGTCTTTTCACCAGGAATGCTTTAAAGTCCTCTATTTCACTGAATGACCATTTTTTTCCCCTGAAGGATTATACTCAGTTTTGCTGGGTATGTGATTCTTGGTTGTAATCCTATCTCCTTTGCCCTCTGGAATATTATATTCCATGCCTTGCGGTCCCTTAATGTAGAAGCTGCTAAATCTTGTGTTATCCTGATTGTGTTTCCACAATACTTGAATTGTTTCTTTCTGACTGCTTATAATATTTTCTCCTTGACCTGGGAGTTCTGGAATTTGTCTACAATGTTCCTAGGAGTTTTCCTTTGAGGATCTCTTTCAGGAGGAGATTGGCAGATTCTTTCAATTTCTATTTTGCTCTCTGATTCTAAAATATCAGGGCAGTTTTCCTTGATAATTTCTTGAAAGATGATGTCTAGGCTCTTTTTCTGATCATGGCTTTCTGATAGTCCAATAATTTTTAAATTCTCTCTGCTGGATCAATTTTCCAGGTCAGTTGTTTTTCCAATGATATATTTCACATTGTTTTCTAATTTTTCATTCTTTTGGATTTGTTTTACAGTGTCTTGATTTCTTATAAAATCACTAGCTTCCAATTGCTGCATTCTAATTTTTAAGGAAGTATTTTCTTCAGTAACATTTTGGACTTCCTTTTCCATTTGGCCAATTTTGTTTTTTAGGGCATTCTTCTCCTCATTATCTTTTTTGGACCTCTTTTGCCATTTGGGTTAGGCTATTTTTTAAGGTGTTATTTTCTTCAGTATTTTTTTGGGTCTCCTTTAGTAAGCTGTTGACTTGTTTTTCATGATTTTCTTGCATCACTCTCATTTCTCTTCCCAGTTTTTCTTCTACTTCTCTTACCTGCTTCTCAAAATCCCTTTTGAACTCTTCCAAAGCCTGGGATTGATTCATATTTTTCTTGGAGGCTTTGGATGTAGGAGCTTTGGCTTTGTTGTCTTCTTCTGGTTGTGTGTTTTGATCTTCTTTGTCACCAAAGTAAGACGATATAGTCTGATTCTTTTTGCACTGCTTACTCATGATCCCAGCCAATTACTTCAGTTTTAAACTCTTTGTGAAGGTAAGAGTCTGCTTCCAATGTGGAGAATGCACTGTCCCAAGCTTCGGGGGTTTGTACAGCTGTTTTCAGAGATACTTCTAGGGACCTGTAAATTTTCAGTTCTTCCAAGGTGGTATGATAAGGGGTGAGGCATTTCCTCTCCATTGTCCCAACAAGTTCCACCATGCCAGTGCTTCTCCTCACCCCAGGACTGCCCCTCAGAACTGTGACCCAGATCCAAGCATGGGCAAAGCAAGAGATTCCTGCCTCAGGACTGGCAAAGAGATCCCTACAATCTCCCTCTAATCAGTCATTTGATTCCCCTTCAGTCTGTGGGCCTGAAGCTCAGGAGGCAGCTGCTGCCCCAGGTCATGCTCAGGACTTGTGGCTGAGATCTAGCTTCTAACTCTCACCACAGTCACAGACTTTTCCCACTGATCTTCCAAGTTGTCTTTGGCATTCCTGGGTTGAGAAGTCTGGAAACCACCACAGCCGCCCATGATTCAGTCCTCTAAGGCCTGCTCCAGGTTTGCTGCAGCTTGTGCACCCGCACCAAACTGCGCTCCTCTCCCCATCCGGCACTATATACGTTTCCGATCAACCATCCTGGTTGTCTTGGGCTGGAAATTTGTTTCACTCTGTCTTTTTGTGGGTTCTGCTGTTCTAGAATTTGTTTAGAGCCATTTTTTTAAAGGTATTTGGAGAGGTTTGGGGGAGAGCTCAAGCAAGTCACTGCTTTCACTCCGCCATCTTGGCTCCACCCATTTTACTTTATTTTTCTTGAGTTTTTTTTTGTCTATGTTTTCTTTCACAACATGACTATTACGGATATGTTTTGCATGATTACACATGTATAACTTATATCGACTTGCTTGCCTTCTCAATGGGGGTGGGGGTGGGGAGGGAGGAAGGGAGAGAATTTGGAACTCAGAGTTTTTAAAACAAATGTTAAAAATTGTTTTTACATGTAACTGGGGAAGAGTAAAATACCAAACATAAAAAGAAAGAAAAAATACATTAGGTAAAGGGGGAAGGGAATAAGCATTTATATAGTGCCTACTCTGTGTCAGGTACTATGCTAACAGCTTTTTATAAATATTGTCTCATTTGATCATCACAACAACCCTGGGAGGTAGGTGCTATTATTATCCCCATTTTACAGATGAGGGAACTGAGGCAAATATAGGTTAAGTGACTTGTGCTGGATCACACAGACAGAAAGCTTTTGAGGTCAAATTTGAACTCTGGGCTTCCTGCCTCCAGTTCCAGCACTCTGTCCAATGTGCTACCAGCTGCCTCTGGAAAGGAGGATGTGGGCCATGAACTCCTGGAGTCAAGGATGCAGTGCCAGCAAACCTCTCTTACCTACTCAAAATCCCAGCAAACTAGGCTCAAACATTCAGAACTGGAAGAAATCTCAGTGATAATCTCATCCAGGGTTTCTTAACCTTTTCTGTGTCATGGGGCCCTTTAACAGTCTGATAATGCCTCTGAGTTTTAGCTTTCTCAGAATAATGTTTTTAAATAATTGAAGGAAATGCCATATTTCAGGCAGAAGTTAGTGAAAATAAAGATGTAATTTTTCTTTTCGAATTCAAATTCACAGACTCCTCTGAATTCTATTCACAAATCTTTTGGGGATACAAAAAATCCAGATTAAGAACTCCTGAGCTAGATTTTGGAGTTCATTCTAGATCTAAAATTCTAGGATTCAATTCTACCCGTAATTAAATAAAATACACAGGATTTCAATTCATTTGGAATAGACAAATTATTTTTTAAAAAACCCAAGTTTAGACATCCCAGCTTAAGACCCCCTGAATCCAATCTCCTCATTCTACACATGAGGAAACTGAGGTCCAGAGACATGAAATAATTTGTCTAAGCCACACAAATACTAATTGATAGATCTGGAATTTAAACCCAGATCTTTTGAGCACCATACTTGGTACTCTTTCCACTATAAGAAAACAAGAAGGTAAGTGGGACAGATGTAGGATATGAGAGGACCACTCTTTTCTCTTTTTTACTGATCTTTCATTCACCTTTCATGCCCTAACTTTATTGGAACTATTTGATGACACAGGTATAAATTTAACTTGAAGAAATTTGTCACAAAATATAATATTCCAGATGTATAAGTTGTGGACATTTTGTAGGCCATTGTAGCTAAAATATATTCAGTGATATTGGCATTTATAGCCCAAATATTTATTTATTTATAAATAAATATATATGTAAAAATACTTATAGCCTAAAAAGGCTAATGTATTTTGTACATGTTCTCATAAGATGAGACAGCCTGCTCAATATATATCAAAACAATCAGCTACTGAGAGCCTCCCTTGTGCCCAGTACTGTGTGGGAATCATAAGTATAAAATATGGTCCCTAATCACAGGAGGCTAACATTCTAGTTAGAGAGAAAATAATAATATCTAGCATTTATGTTGTTGTTGTTGTTTGTCCTTCTCAAAGAAGACCATGACATCAGGGAGGTCGTGCCATTCCTTTGGGGAGAGCAACAGCAGGTATGATACTCCATGTGGATGGAAGGAAAGAAAAAGAAAGGAAGAAAGAGAGAGAGAGAGAGAGAAAGAAAGAGGGAGAGACAGGAAGAAAGAAAGAAAGAGAGAGAAAGGAAGAAAGAAAGGAAAAAAGAGAAAGAGAGAAAGAAAGAGAGAGAGAAAGGAAGAAAGAAAGAAAGGAAAGAAAGGAGCTGTGTTGCCCACCTGGCCAGTTCCAGTTGCGTCCCAAGTGGCGCAGCTCCTACCATAACTCACAGAGGTTGCTGTTTGTCCCTCCTTCTTGAAGAGGGCCATGACATCAGGGAGGTGATGCCATGACATGCAAGTGAATTGGATTTAAGTGAGGGAGGGCTGTGTGCAAAGTCACCAGCCTCACTCTTTCCTCTGGAGCCATCTGGGTCCAGCGGCATGACACAGATCAAGACTACTGGAGATGACCTTGGATGCAGTGAGATTATGTCATCTCCTTTGATCTTCATAACAACCAAAGGAGATAAGTACTATTATTTACTCCCTTTTACAGAAGAACAAATAGAGGTTGAGATATTAAGGGACTTGACCAGGGCCACAAAGCTATGTAAGTGTCTGAGGCGGGATGTGAACCCAGGTCTTCCTGATCCCAAGTCTGGCACACTATCCTCCATGCCATCTATCTGCCCAGGAGATGAGATTGAAATATTTGAATATAAATACATAAAATATCTTAAGTAAAAGCAAGCAAAACAAAATGAGTATACAATTAAATGTTATATTGTGATCATACGTGCAAAGGAATTCAGAGGGATGTGGTATCTGAGCTGATCTTTAAGGATGGGTAGTGTATCAACAGGGGAAGATAAGAGTGGGAGGAAATACCCTGGGGAACAGGAATACTTCATAGGAGCAAAGACACTGGGGCAAGGAACCTGAGAAATGTTGGGAGGGGATGGTTTATAATTCATTTTTATTAAAACCAAAGGGAGCAGTTAGAAATCAGGCTGGAGAAGTACATTTGACCCAGGTCATGGAAAGCTTTGAATGCCAGGCAAGAGAATGAGCATAATGTGTGCACAAGATAGTGAGAAGGCACTATAACCACCAGTAGAGGGGTGCTCCTTTATGTGCTCTTGGAAGATAGGAAGCAGATCTCATAAGAGGGTGGCACGTGGTTGAACCCACTGGCGACTGGGGTGATGTCAATATCGTTGGGGTCAATGACAGGCTTCAAGGTGAAATTTTGTAAGATGGTGGTGAAAAAGAGAAACAATTCCATCTGAGCCAGGCTTTGGCCAACACATGCCCTTTTCCCTGAAAGAGACAAATGGAGATGATAAGCAAAGACAAAGTCTTTTAGGACACTGTTTCAAGGCACCCATAACCACTAGAACTACAGCTCATAGTAATATAACTCTTTATGACTTATAAGGCCATTTACATAAGTGATCTCATTTAATCCACAGAACAACCTTGCAATGTAGATGCTATTATTATCCCCATTTTGTAGATGAGGAAACTGAGGCTGACAGATGATAATGGCTTGTTGAGTGTCACAAAGTTAGTAAATGCCTAAGGCAGAATTTGAACTCAGATCTTCCTGATTCCAAATCCAATGATTTAGGTGGCACCGTGGATTGAACATTGTACCTGGAATCAGGAAGACCTGAGTTCAAACGCTCAGACATTTTACTGCCTGTGTGACCCTGGGCAGGTCACTTAACTTCTGTCTGCCTCAGTTTCTTCATCTGTGTAATGGGAATAATAATAATAGCACTCAGTTCCAAGGAATATTGTGAGGGTAAAATGAGGTATTTGTAAATCTGAAAGGGCTATATAAATGTTAGTTATTAGTATAAATTATTGTTATTGTTGTTGTTGTTGTTGTTGTTATATACCACACAAAGCTGCATTCCATACCACTGACAGGGAAGTGAGGATTGAGTGCATTCCTTCCTCTCTAGTGCGAGGACACCAATTGGTACATCTACCCTTACTCTATGCATCTTGCTTGTAGGCAAGTAAACCCTTCAGTTATCTCAGTGCTTGGATGACAATTAACATTCCATCATGTTACCTCCTGAAACTCCAACCTATGCTCCAACAGAAGGGGAGTCCCTTCCATTTAATTTCCCTAAATTCAGCTCTTGTATGCCAGAGTCAAACCTGGGACTTCAAACTTAGAGTTCACTGCCCCAGAGCAAGAAGACAGCTACCAGCTACAGCTCCACAAACCAGATGCCTGGCTACTGTTTCTGCCATTAGTGGGGAAAGGTCATAAGAACTGTGATCAGCTCTTCCTTTGTCATCACTTTGGGGCACGCAACACACTGCTGAGACCTACTTCTTGTTCCCTGTTTAGTGCTGAGCCAAGCTATCTGCCTCTTATCAGCCCTCTTCCCTCCTAATCCCAATTATAACCCAGTAGGAAATTGTCCTTAAAAATACAGGTCAGGGTTAAGCAGCTGCCTCTTAACCTTCATCTCCACTAAACTTTAGCCCAAGTCCTAGGCTTTCAGACACTTTTGCAAATTTTCCATCTTTTTCTTTCCCAGTATAGGAACCTCCTCAACTAGCTGTTCCTGAAAAGTGAATGCAGAAAGGGTAGAACTCAAACTGAAATATTGTCTCCCTTCAATTCTGATTTTATATTTGTTTCTTATTTAATTTCCAATTAATAAAATTTTGTCATTTGAACTTTTTTCTTTTTAATAATAATAATAGATAACATTTATATAGTGCTTACTACATGTGACGTATAACGCTAAGCACTTCACAATTATTATCTGATTCGATCCTCACAACAACTTTGAGAAGTAGATGCTGCTATTCTCCCTCTTTTATAGAGGAGAAAACTAAGGCAAACAGAGGGGGATTACAAGGGCCCTCACTGAACTAAAGGGAACAGCTGCTGGCTCATGACTGACAATTGGCTGTAGTCATTGGGGAGATCATAGAGCAGCCCTTTCCTGCTGGTAGTTACCTTGTTATCAATGGATTCATCCTAGAATGGGAACTCAAAGGACAAGGTCTGTTGCTGGTCTTCTATCCCAATACAGGACCATAACAATGTAGGTATCCAGGAAGAGGGCTCCAGGAAGGGCACCCAGATACTTCAAAGAGCAATGGGTATGATATTAGATAAGGTCAGAGTCTTAGTGGCAGAAGTAGAAAAGTAAGGTGGTAGTGAGGACTCCTAGAATGCCCTTCAAACTCGTCCGTCAGAGTCAAGAATCACTGTGATGTTCTAGATCACAAGAATCACTGTGATGTTCTAAAGACACTAAGATAGGACTATAGGTGAGTAGTACCTGATGGTACCTGAGCAATGGACCATTGAGAGAACCTTGCCATCTTCCTCAGCTTGCTGAGGTACTGTAGTGTGCCCCATAGGCAAAAAATGCTTAGAAAACTGTGTCTGAAAGAAGATTCTGGCTGAAAAATCCTTGCAAGACAGTTTCAGTCCTTTGGGGACATTGATGATGGATATGGAGAGAAGACACAGTGGCCACTGGTCTGAGCTCTTCCCTTCTTGTAGAAAAACTGGGGCAACTGCCTAAAGTCTCATTGATTTTGCACAGCACTGATCAAACATGGCTGGAAAAAGGTTTCCACACCTACCATCACTTCTAATGACTTTCAGCCCAAGAAAGAATGGAAGGATAAGTACCTATCTTCAGCTTATTCCTAACATTTAGAGGCAAAAGAGAGCTTAGAGTTCATCTAGTCTGAACCCTCATTTGAAATCTTAGGAAATCGAAGCTCACAGATGTCAAGAAATTTGCACAAGGTCACACAGGTTGTAAATGGGATTGGAACTCAGGTCCTCTAAGATATATAGATACTCAGATTTTGAAACATTTGTCTTGCCTGTTGCAAAAGGTACAAAATAGTCACTTTTCTTAAAGTTGCCCCTTTCATCCAGGAAATGGTGTGGGTCAAACTGGTCTGGATTGGGGAACTCTTCATTGTCATACAGAACAGAAGTCAGTAATGGTATTATGGTTGTGCCCTGGAATGAACAGAAACAGATAATTTGAATGACAGAAGACAAGTCCTAGAATGTTAGAATTGGAAAGGACCATAGAAATCATCTAGTCCAATTTTCTCCTTCCCCTCCCCCTCTCCTGCATTTACAAACAAGCAGACTAGGGGCCAACATTGGTTGAGACCAAGACCAGAACTCTGGTGTCCTGACCCCCAAACTTATCGTAGTTCATCACATCATACCAAAGGACCCCAAAGCCAGTGTGCAGAGAAATGCAATCTTGGTCCATATAGGGCAAAACCAAGACCAATAGGTGGGGGTTACAAGGAGGAAGAATTCAATTCAACAAACATTAAGTGCCTACAGTATACTGGGCACTGTAATTTAAGGAGAATTTTGACAATTAGACCTATCAGATATGGAATGGGCTGCCTAATTTGGTGGTATGATACTCTGAATGTGTTTAAGCAGAGGCTAGAAGAGCTTTTGTCTGGGGTATAGGTTTAACCAGATGACCACTGTGCTATAATCTTGTGATTCTCTAATTTTCTAGGAGGGAGTGTAAATGCTGGTGTGGAGCTTTAATTAGAAATGATTTCACTAGGGACAAAAATAATTGGGAGCATGGAAGTGATGGGACACAGGACACCCCAATCATGGGTTCAGATATGCCAACTGTGTGGGCAATCCAGCCCTCATCCCAAAAGTGGTTGATGGGGAAGGCAGACCAGTAAAAGGATGTCACAGCAATGGGACTGTAGAGATGGTAGCTGCTGGGACATCAGAGAACTGCCATGAAAGGCATGAAGACAGTGGTTGCTTCAGGGAGGAAATGTATCACCCTTCCCTCATTCTAAGGAAAAGTCCCATTCCTTTGTTGCTAGTTATGGCTCCCTTCTTTTATTATATTCAACAAATGACACACTTCTTACCTTGGGGATGAGGTATTGTCTGAACTGAATGTCTTCTGTTACTGCATGAGGCACACTGGCAGGGACGAGGTCAATGTATCTCTGTATTTCATTGATCACAGCATTGGTATAAGGCATATTGCTTCTGTCTTTCATGCTGGGACTTTGGTTTTGGCCAATCACTTGGTCAATTTCTTCATGGATTTTTTCTGTCACAATAGGAATAAAAATTCATGTAAAAAATGGGGAGAAAGACATGACATCTCCTCCAGTTTCTCTGATCTCTCACCTAGAATGAAATAGGAAATAAAATGCTACTGAATCTATCTCTTAATGGGCAAATTAAGAATTCCATTTCAGTCTTTTGGGTCAGCCAAGGGTCCATGGGAAGCACATAAATCCCCTGCTCCTCAGAGCTCAGGCCTCAAGTTGTCCTTATACAAATACAAAATAAGCAGCATTGGGTAAGGAAGTAATAAGGACAGATTCAGTGGATTCAAGTGGTTTCTCCACACACTTGGATGAGTATCTGAGAATTGGGATGTTCCAGTTCTTTCTAAACCATGGTGACCTGGCCCCACTGCATCATTCAGTTATGCAGAGTTCTACCCTAAACAGATCATAAAAATGGGAAAAGGACCCACACGTACAAAAATCTTTATAGCAGTTCTTTTTGTGGTGGCAAAGAATTGGAAATTGAAGTGATGCCCATTAATTGGGGAATGGCTGAACAAGTTGTGGTATATGAATGTAATGGGATACTATTTTGCTATAAGAAATGATGAGCAGGCAGACTTCAGAAAATCTGGAAAGACTTATGTGAACTGATGCTGAGTGAAACGAGCAGAACCAGGAGAACATTGTACAGAGTAATAGCCACTTTGTGCAATGATTGACTTTGATAGACAGCTCTTCTCAGCAATGCAAGGATCTAAGACAACTCCAAAAGACTCATGATGGAAAAATGCTATCCACATCCAGAAAAAGCACTATGGAGTCTGAATGCAGAGTGAAACATACTATTTGCTCTCTCTCTCTTTCTTTGGTTTTGTTTCTTCTTTCTTGTAGTTCCTCCCATTGGTTCTAATTCTTCTTTACAACATTACTAATGTGAAAATATATTTAATAGAAATGTATATGTAGAGCCTATATCAGATTGCACACCTTCTTTGGGAGGGTAAAGGGGAAGGAGGTGGAGAAAATTTAAAACTCAAAAACTTATGAAAGTGAGTTGAAAACTAAAAATAAATATACTAATAAAAAAAGAAAAAAGAAAGAACACAAGCGCTAAATATTTTAATTATGTACATACATCAAGATTCATGGATACCTTTGTTTTAATATCATAGTCATTTTCAGATATATTGCTATACTATCACCAGGGAGTTTTCCTTTTAAACAAGGAACAATTTAAGCCAAACTAAATGCATATGCAGCATTTCCAAACCCCCTTAAAGGAAGAAAGTGCATTTCCTTATTACTTCTCCAGGGGTGAAATTGGCTATTATACTTTCACAGCATTTAGCTTCATTTTAGTGTTCTTTGCAATTCTTTTATTGTACACCAGTAGAATGCATGTGATAAGGGCTGCATATATTAGAAATAACTGGTCTGACCCATAAAATATATAAGCTATATGAAGAAGTGAAGGAAGACCTAAATAAGTAGAGAAAACTTCAAGGTTCTTGGATAAGTCAGTTCAAAATGCTAAAAAACAAACCAAACAAAACAAAACAGAAAAAACCAATATTCCCTAAACAAATTCAGAGATTTAATGTCCTACAAATTTTTTTTCTAATGAGTTCCTTTGTACAACTGTACATATTGTAATCCTATCTCTGTCCACTCCAGTCATGAAATTGCACTTTTGGGCTCACTCCTGCCAGTTTGTTTTTTGAAATCCATTAAACTAGAGACCCTTCCCAGGTTAACCTCTTCACTTCTAATCTTATCATCAAGTTGCTAAGTCAAGCCTAGACTGACTCTACCTCCTCCCTCAACCTCCTCTCCCCTATGATTAGAGGACGGGAGGGTGTAGTATCAAAATCCTCCCAATGTCTTCCTTTATAAAAGGTAGAAACTGAACTTTTGGCTAACCCCAGTCTGCCTCTGCTGCCCTTCCTGGTTTATTCAACTCCCCACTGGTGTTTCCCTATCCCACTCCCCTTTCCTGTCTCCTTTTGTGTATTGTCTCCTCCCATTAGATTGTAAATTCCTTGAGGGCAGAGACTGTATTTCTTTTTATTAGTTGTATTCCCAGTACCTGGTACTTAGTAGGCATTTAATAAACGTTTATTGGATTGGATATATGTCTTCCCATGTCTCCCTTAATTCCCCATATTCAATAGTTTCTCATGGCATTCATAGGCTACAATTTGCCTACTCCTTCTTCAATTCATGGACACCAACCTAGATTTTCCTTTTTTTAAATGAATGGTATGACAGTTCAATTGCCATGTCATAAATTTCTCTTTAATTTGATCAGTTTTTATCTTTACAGGGAAGCCATGTCCTGAGTAATCAATGTATTTACTTAAACTAAGTCTAATTGCCATGTTATAAATCTCTCTTTAATTTGATCAATCTTTATCTTTAGAGGAAAGTCATGTCCTAAATAGTCAATATATTTATTTAAACTAAGCCTAACTTTTTATAGGTTGCTTTTGGCAAAAGCATGACACCACTGTGAGCTGACTGTATTTTTAATATGTCGTAAGTTTCATTGGTCATTCATTATTTAGTCTTCTGTTTGAGGAAAAGAAGTATGGTAGAGAGAAAAAGCATTATTTTCTCTTTTCTGGAATTGGAATTTGGCTTTGAGTTCTACAATTTATTAGATGTGCAACCTTGGGCAAGTCACCTAACCTCAATAGATCTCAATTTTCTGATCTATAAAATGGGAATAACTTTCGCATTGACCCCACCACAATATGAAGTTTTCATAATGTTTATGAAAAAACATTATTGTTAAAAAGAGGCCCTATTGGTAGTAACAAAAAACATTAAATACCTGACAATTAACTCATTTATCTACACATTTGTCTCAATTCATTAACACATATTTAGGTTTCTGATGCTGAAAGGAGTAAATGGATGCAGTGAATCTCCCAATCCCTTTGAATCTCCAAAGCATTGATTAGGGGCTCCAAAAGATGGAAAATCATCATCTAATACCTTGTATGCAGCTAAGTAGCTCAGTGAAAACAGCACTAGTCATATAATCAGGAAGACCTGAGCTCAAATTTGGCCTCAGACACTTATTAGCTATGTGACCCTGGACAGCTCACTTAACCTCTGTTTGCTTTAATATGTTGGAGAAGGAAATAGAAAACCACTCCAGTTTCTTTGCCAAGAAAACTCCAAATGGGGTCACAAAGAATCAGATACAACTGAGCAGCTACAACATTTTTTGGGGGACAGGTAGGTGGTGCAATGGATGGAGCACTGAGCTTGGAATCAGAAAGACTCATCTTCCTGAGTTCAAATCTGGCCTCAGATACTTACTAGCTGGGTGACCTGGGCAAGGCACTTAACCTCTGTTTGCCTCAGTGTCCTTATCTGTGAAATGAGCTGGAGAAGGAAATGACAAACCACTCCAGTATCTTTGCCAAGAAAACCCCAAATGGGGCCCTAAAGAATTGGACATGACTGAAAAGCGATTGAGTAACAAAACCTCCTATCAGTATTTGCGATGTATCTACCTTATCTCTTCCATGAGAGCATAAGCCTCTTATTAATGAGACTTGCATCTTACTTGTAAGTAATAATGAGTAGTCATAATAGGAACAATTCACAAGTGATTAGCACATGGCATAGTGAATGGAAGACCAGTCCTAAAATCAAGAGGACATGGATTCAAGTCTTGCCTCTGGCACATATTGGCTATATGATCCTGGGCAAGTCACATAACATTTCAGAGTACTAGGGAAGTTTCTTTGGCTATAAATTACAGATGAGCTGCTAACCTGCATTTGTGCAGGAAATGATCATATATGAAATGCTCCACACTAATGAAATCACAGTTCTGCACCCTCTTATCCCTTTACTTAAAAAAAAAAAGTCAGAAGTCAGAATTTTATAGTTCACAAAGTGCTGGGATGGATAGAAAGGTAATGAACTTGAAGACACAATAACTAATAGTAAATACATTAAATATCAATAGAAACTATTCCAAACAGAGTCGCAGCAGGTCTGACCATGAGCCTCTTTCTTCCTAACTTTTATTCTGCATTTCATTCTGCATATTATTTGTCCACTTACTTGTGATATGAGGGTACTTCAGCAGAATCAGGAAGCCATATCTCAGAGTGGTGCTGGTGGTTTCTGTCCCAGCTCCAAAGAGATCAAGAGTGGTTTGGACTAAGTTTTCAATGGTAAACTCAGACTGTGGGTTTTGCTTTTCCTAGGAATAATTTGACACAATTAGTTAATATACACATGAAGTAGATTAGATCTAAGTTATACAACCCAGAATGGAGCAGGGTGATGGCAAATATCTTGTGAATTTGGCTAATCCAGACACTGCAGACCCTTCCCCAACTCCCTCAAATATTTAGAGAAAAAATTAGGCAAATAGTATTGAGTAACTTAATAAGTTTGGAATAAAATGATAATATTTATTTAGTGCTGTATACAAGGTACTATCAAATACTTCATCTTACCTGATCCTCATTAAAATCTGGTAGGAGGGGCAGCATGTTACTGTCCATAGAGAGCTGCGAACCCTGGAGTCAGGAAAACCTGGGTCTGAACTCAGATACACACTGTCTAGGGTACCCTTGGAAAATCACTTCACCTCTCAGGACATGAGGCAGATTTTTAAGTGACCAATGCTCAAAAAGGGCCAATGATAGGAATAAGGCCAGTGCTAGCTGCTGAGGGCACCTGGATAGTACAGTGGATAGAGCACCAGGCCTGGAGTGAGGAAGACAAGTTTATATCTGGCCTCAGACACATTCTAGCTCTGTGACCCTAAGCAAATCACTTAACCTCTGTTGGCCTCAGTTTCCTTATGTGTAATATGAGGATAAAAATAGCACCTACCTCCCAGGTTGTTGTGAGTATCACATGAGATGATAATTGTAAAGTGCTTAGCACAGTGCCTGGCCCAGAGTATGAGTTATATAAATGTTAGTTATTAATATTTATTATCATTGCCCCTGAGTCATCCTTAGCCATATCTCAGAAAGTCAAATGACAACAGCTTGGCTGAAGAAGTACCAAGCTCAGGGTCAGGAGAGCTGGGTTCTGGTCCCTGAGCTGACACTAATTTTAGATCTCTGTTTCTCTTCTGTAACTTGGAGATGTTGATCTATAAAATCCTTTCCAGCTGTAGTAGTCAGTGGGTCTGTGGTATTTGGGCTCCATTGGACTCCACCTCAGCACAGCCTCAATTTCAGTTAAAGGTGAAGGAACCTTCTCCTTTGACATTGGCCATTCTCCTCCTCTGGGTCTCCATTTCCTCCTCTAAAATGAAGGGATTGTACTAGATAATCTTGTCAAGATATTAGGCAACCCCATGTTTTCCAAAGCTAAGGCCCAGCAAACAAGCTGTGCCCTGAGCTTGGCATAACAACAATCCTTTGAGCTCACCTTCTGGATGATCTCAGCCATAGCAATGATTATTGTACTTCTTTGACCAGCACCAGGTGTTCTCTGAGCTTGGACAAGCACTTGCTGTATCTATGTTCTGGTCATGAAGCACTGCTATGACCTCTTCTTTGGTTTCCAGAGGACGGCCAAGGTAGAGAGGTGTATAGTATAGCATAGTATAGTATAGTATAGTATAGTATAGTATAGTATAGTATAGTAT